GGGATCTCGACCGTTTTCAAGTTCTCAAACAGGAGGGGGTGGGGGTGACCCCAGGGGACTCGCCTTTGATTTCAATTGATTTGTTTTGTTGTCACATACAAGAATATATATGGTTTCAGGGTTGGGATCTTGACCGTTTACAAGTTTTCAAAAAGTAGGGGGTGGGGGTGACCCCAGGGGACTTCCCTCAATTTCATTTGATTTGTTTTATTGTCCCATTCAAGAATACATATGGTTTAGGGGTGGGCATCTCAACCGTTTACAAGATAAAAGCACATTCTCAAATTGAAAGGGGGTGGGGGGTAAGAATATATATGGTTTAGGGAGACTTAATTATCTACAAAATGTCTAATATATACAGTCCTACAGATCTTATCAGGAAACAGAAAATTTTCAATAAATCTGTCACTCCAATGATATTATATGCTAAGATATAACCCAGATCTAATTAATAATTAATAATGTAATTAACTTCAAAATGTCTAATAATATAGCTTATAATCATTACCACTTGTGAGATAAGACATTATGCTTAGTCATAAAAAAGATAACAAGAGTAAAATATTTAAAAATTCCACTTTTGGATATTAAAAATGGCGATAACTCACAAAGGAGATATACTTATATCTTGAACATTGAACTAGACCTTCATGAAGTCCCAGGAAACAACATATTTAAATTTGAAAAAAATTTGTTAAAGCGTTTTCATGTTATTCTGCTGACAAGCTGATGGCACCCACAGTCCACCCAGCCAACCGCCATATGTCACCATTTTAATAACCGATATTTCCTTCAAAAATCAGGTTAAAAATCTATTAAAACTTATCTGTAATTATCTTCAAAATATCTCATAATGAACAGTAAATTTCAAACTATATTTATATAGTCCTATAGAGCTTATTTATCATCAATAACACTTAGGAAAAACACAAAATTTTCAAATAAATCTGTCACCCCAATTATAATTGTGTGATTGATAATTACCAGATGTTTTGTTATCTTGATAAGAGGTGAAAATTATTTAAAAACACTTAGTGTAATCAAACTTTATATATATAATTAATAGTTCCCAATATTTTTTCTTCCATTTGTCACAAACTAATATCTGCAACTTATCTATCAATGTCAACAACTTTATCTACACAATGTATTGTAATGAAATATATCCTTTAATTTCCAAGGGAATTTTCAACTATAATAAAATATTCAAACATGTTAACAATCTTTAAATAGAACACAATGCATACACAATTATCACCACAATTAATATATCTGAATCACCAAATCTATTTTAAACTATGACTCAATTTAAAATTTCTATTAGTTTACAATAAATCTATAAATGTAGAGCTTGATTAACTATTTAATATCCCAACCCTCCTATTGTGATATGGAACCTTGTGCTAAAATTTCTTACACATCCATACACTTATACTTAAGTTATTGTCTGTGAACCAATTTATTTTCCATAAACCAATTTATTTTCCATGAACCAGTGATGTAAACCACAAAAATAGTTCTCTAAAATTAGATATGATGTTTTAACTATTTTCAGCTTAAAATTTCTGTTAATTGTCCAATAACATCTCTGAATTTAGATTCTAAGCAAATATGTAATAATAGCCTAGTTTTTGACACAGAATGAATGTGGTATAAGTTCTTAAATAATTTTAAAATTAGACATTTACCAATTATGGTCCAATATTCAAATTCTAAATACATGGTTGGATTAAGCATATCAAATAACCTAATTGATTCATTTTTTGTTAAAATCAAACTAACTATTACTTTTACTGTTAAGTCTGTTTTTTGTTATATCCATTTTACGTGACTCTGTATTTATGTATCCCCTCATACTTTGAACGACAAAATAATTTTATGTCTACCTGTGCGAATTTCAAACTCGTGATTTTACGCCAGTACTTAAAACCTTCCATCCTTTATGGGTGGATTTTACATAGATAAATAAAACCGTATAATATAAGCAAAATGAGGATGTTTAATTTGATGTATGCCTTTTTGTGCTTCTTCGTTACATTTGTTTGTTTTTATAGTGATTAAGATGATAACACAATGTTGACTGCTGTACCCCTATTTTTGACATTTTTTCCTATTGTGTCTGTTTGTTTTGTTCTCGCATTGTTGTCAATATAATGGAATTTGATGCGACTGTCATACAAGTGAGAGGTTTAGCTAGCTATAAAACCAGGTTCAATCCACCATTTTCTACATAAGAACGTGCCCGTACCAAGTCAGGAATATGACAGTTGGTATCCATTCGTTTGATGTGTTTGTTTTTTTTATTTTGCCATTTGATTGGGGACTTTCCTTTTTGAATTTTCCTCGGAGTTCAGTATTTTTGTGATTTTACTTTTTGAATACTTTAGACCTTTGTGGGGTCCAGTTTGAAAAACCGGCCCAAAATCAAAAATTTAAAACACTGTTAGATTGCACACATTAAAGAACACTAATCATGCTAATGATTTAATTTTTTGAAGAAATCAAACAAAGTTTAATTTTGGACCCAAATTTGGACCAACTTTGAAAACCAAGCACAGAATCAAAAAATCTAAAACACTGATGGATTGACCATATCAAATAACACAAGCAATTTAATTTTTGATGAAATCAAACAATGTTCAATTTTGGACCCCAATTTGGACCATCTTGAATACTGTGCTAAAAATCAAATATCTAAATACACGCTTAGATTCAGCATATCAAAGAACCCCAACCATTCATTTTTTTTTAAATCAAACAAAGTTTAATTTTAGACCCTTTGGACCTTAATGTTGGCCATCCATGCCCCAAATCAAAAATTTGAATACATGCTTAGATTCAGCATATCAAAGAACCCTAAGAATTCATTTTTTTTTAAATAAAAAAAGTTGTATTTTGGACCCTTTGGACCTTAATGTGGACCAATTTGAAGATAGGCCTCAAAATTAAAAAAAAAATATAAAAACCCTTTTAGATTCAGCATATCAAAGAACACCAATAATTTAATTTTTAAAGAAATCAAACAAAGTTTAGTTTTGGACCCTAATATGAATCATTTCAAAAACAGACCCTAAAATCCAAATATTAAAAACCTAATTAGATTCAGCATATTAAAGACTCCAAAGAATTCAAGACTTTTGAATTAAACCCCCTTGAAATTGTTTAAAAAATAAGCAATTTATACAAAGTATTGGTTTTGGGCCCTTTTAACTAAACCAATAGGGTCGTAATGCCTAAAATCAATCCCAAACTTTATTTTATGGTATAACACCTTGAGGCACAATAAAATTAAAATAGCAATAAATAGACTTATACTCAAGTTATTGTCCAGAAATTAGAAAATCCTAGTTTTTTGGACCCTTTTCAGCCCCTTATTGTTAAACGATTTGTGCCACGACCCCGAAAATCAATCCTAACTTTCCTTTCGAAGTATGGAACATTATAGTAAAATTTCATAGAAATCCATACTCTAATACACAAATTAGTGTCCTGAAACATGAAAAAAGCTTGACCCCTTTTTGGCCCTTAATTACTAAACAGCTACAACAATAACCCCCAAAATAAATCCTAACCTTCCTATTGTGGAATGGAACCTTGTGTTTAAATTTAATACAGATCTATTCAGTTATACTCAAGTTTGAACCGGAGAAATAGTTGTTTTTACAATGCCCTTTTTGGCCCCTAATTCCTAAACAGCTAAGATAATAACCCCCAAAATAAACCCCAACCTTCCTATTGCGGTATGGAACCTTGTGCTAAAATTGAATAGAGATCCATACACATATACTCAAGTTATTGCCTGCAAACCAGAAAAATAGTTGTTTTCAGCCCCTTTTCGACCCCTAATTATTAAACGGTATGGGCCATGACCCTCCAAAAAACATTCTAAACTTCCCTTTTGAAGTATGGAACCTTGTGGTAAAATTTCATAGAAATCTATACTCTTATACACCAATTATTGTCCTGAAACATGAAAAATGCTTGTTTTTGGCCCCCAATTCCTTAACAACTATGACAATAACCCCCAAAATAAATCACAACCTTCCTATTGTGGTATGGAACCTTATGCTAAAATTTGATAGAGATCCATTCACTAATATACTCAAGTTATTGTCTGTGAACCTGACAAAAAATTGTTTTTGTTAGACCCTTTTTGGCCCCTAATTCCTAAACAGCTACGACAATAACCCCCAAAAATTAATCCCAACCTTCCTATTGTGGTGTGGAACCTTGTGCTAAAATCTTGATCAAAGAAATATCTCTTATACTCAAGTTATTGTCTTAAAAGCAGACAAAAATTGTTTTTGGCCCCTAATTACAAAACAGCTGAGACAATAACCTCCAAAAATCAATCCCAACCCTCCTATTGTGGTATGGAACCTTGTACTAAAATTTCTTTCACATCCATACACTTACACTAAAGTTATTGTTTGCGAACCAATTTTAATATTTTCAATGAACCAGTAAAACTGACCTTTTTTAGCCCCTAATTACAAAACCGCAAAGACAATAGCCCCCAAAAACAATCCCAACCATCCTTTAGTGGTATGGAACCTTGTGCTAAAATTTCATAAAGATCAATGAATTTATACTCAAGTTATTGTCTGAGAACCAAAATGTCTTCAGACGCAGACAACGCCATAACATAATACCACCTGCGGTCGTATAAAAATTATTCCCTTTTAAAGAAGCCAATAAAACTGACAAAAGTATTCTAGGCAAGGTCTTTTGCACAGACAGACTGACAAAATGATGGATGGAGTTGAGCAGTTACTAGGCCTGCTTGTGATGTTGGTGACACAGGTAAAAAATTAAAAATATGTGTTGAAAATGAAAGACTATTAAAATGATTGCAGCCTATTAAAGTGAATAAATATTAACATCTTTCACTAAAATGTCATATATGGAACAAGTTTTTGCTACTCTTTTCAGAAAAACATCTTTTCAGCGGTTATAAGTCAGATGACCGCAGACACTGAAAGGTATAGAAAAATACATACCAATGGCATATTGTAATATAATCCATATCTCATTCTAGGTAATAAAGAAAACACAGCATCTTTGAAGCACACCTGCAATAAATTGGCAAAACACAGTAATATAATGCAAAAGCTTGTCTATAATATGAAGCTAACCATTCTGATTTATAGATTGTACAATGAGGTTTTATAAAAATTAGTTAACTGTTGAAATAAATCTACTTCTAAAATGAAACTCACATATTTACAATGACAATTACATGTGTCAAGTCGTTTCATATGAGTTTTTTATCTCTACAGCTTTTCAATAAAATTTAAGAATTAGCATCTTGAAAATATTAAAAAAGTTGTCCACTTAAAAGAAAATTGGTTGACAAAAAAATAGATGATGTTTACAATTAAATACAGCACTTTTTTCACATTTAGCCTTTTTCAGCTGAAATTGCAGTGACTTGTTTTTGAAGTTTTCTATATTTGTTGAAAATCAAAGTTTGACATATTATTGTTATATTTCTACTTGTGTGCATGTCACCTAAATAAATCGCTTGCAAAAATTAGTTGGTTTACATAATACCTTTCAATTTTTTCTGAAAAAGCAATTTCACAACACAAGTCAAATGACAATATGTATCTACATAAATTTACACAAATGAAACAAACAGCGGATAATTGATTCATTACATTAAAACTAACCTTCTTACCATCATACTGACTTAGACGAAGGATGGGGTGATCTGTAAATGCCTTCCATGTCACATCAAAGAAGTCTCGATAAATTAAATCACTCTGAAATATAAGAAAATGCCTTCCATGTCACATCAAAGAAATCTCGATAAATTAAATCACTCTGAAATTATAAATCAGCCTAATAACGAAAACCATTATATTAATCAACAATTTTAATTAATAATATAAAAATAAGGAGTCAGATGTCATATGACACAACAATCCATTAAGATCAAAGGAAAAAGTTGTGAGCAATTACAGGTGACCATATGACCAAATCATCTTTATTTTACAAATACTTGAGCATTAATACAAAACTATAGCCACTGCACTAGATTATGTTTTTAAAATATTCATGCAGCAGCTTTATGATATTTTTTGTAGATAATCAAATAGAAGGCCATATACAGAAAGCTGTCAAAGAAAATGGGAAAAAAAGGATATAGTGTAAAAATTCAATAAAAAAATCCCTTTGCTTACAAATCCAAAGGCAAAGGAATTGTTGGTGTTTTTTTTTTTTCATCTTAAAGTTACAGTTGAGGATTTGAGTGTGCAGCTAAATCTTACACCTCATTGCAAGTTCAAGATGCCACATAGCAGCATTTTGATTGGAATTCTTTTTTATATGTCAATCTGACATGCAAATCTGTACAATGAAGAAAACAGATGTCTCCTACCATATCATTATTATTTGCTTTTAAATATAAATCAGAAATAACCAACTTAAAATGGAAAATATTAAAAGAAAAAAAAAAGGAAAAAAAGAAAAAAATGGAAAAAAAAAAAATCCCCCCCCCAATTTTTTTAAACCCCCTTATGATTCATCACCCCCAAACTCAATCCCAGCCTTCCCTTTGTGGTATGGTACCTTGCAGTACAATTTCAGATAGATCCATACACTTGAACAAAAGTTATTGTCTGGAAACTAGGAAAATGTGTTTTTTTGCCCCTTTTTGGCCCCAAATTCCTAAACGTTTAGGGCAATTACCCCCCAAACTCAAACTCAGCTTTCCCTTTGTTATATGGAACCTTGTAGTACAATTTCAGAAATATCCATACACTAACACACAAGTTATTGTCCTGAAACTAGAAAAATGCTTGTTTTTTGCCCCTTTTTGGCCCCTAATTCCTAAAATATTGAAGCAATTACCCCCATCATCAATCCCAGCCTTCCCTTTGTGGTATGGTACCTTACAGTACAATTTCAGAGAGATCCATACACTTGAACACAAGTTATTGTCTGGAAACTAGAAAAATGCTTATTTTTGGCCCCTTTTTGGCCCCCAATTCCTAAACGTTTCGGGCAATTACCCCCAAACTCAATTCCAGTTTCCCTTTGTGATATGGAACCTTGTAGTACAATTTCAGAAATATCCAAACACTTACACACAAGTTATTGTCATGAAACTAGAAAAATGCTTGTTTTTTGCCCCTTTTTTGGCCCCTAATTCCTAAAATTTTGAGGCAATTACCCCCAAAATCAATTCCAGCCTTCCCTTTGTGATATGGAACCTTGTGGTACAATGTCAGAGAGATCCATACACTTACACACAAGTTATTGTCTGGAAGTTACAAAAATGCTTATTTTTGGCCCCTTTTTGGCCCCTAATTCCTTAGCTGTTGGTACCATGACCCCCAAAATCAATCCTAACCTTCCTTTTGTGGTATTGAACCTTATGGTAAAATTTCATAGAGATCCATTCACTTAATTATATATATATAAACTAAAGTTAGAGTGCGAAAACCAATGTGTTTTCGGACAACGACGCCGCCAACGTCGTACCAATATACGACCGCAAAAATGTATAAAAACATCGCAATAATTTCTGAATTTACAGTATTTTGTGTTCTGTATTTTCATAAGTACTTACAGTATCCCACATGACTATATATACATCTGTAGTAAATGAGTTGTTTACATGTTGTGCAGCATAAATATTCACAAAATCACAGAAATGATGATAAAGGTTCACTCCTGTAAATGAAAAAAAACTTAACATACAGACTTGCATTAATAAATATATGATATATGTATGTTGAGCTATGTTTTTCATGTGGTATTTAATCCATATTAAATATAAAATTTAAAAAAAAAAAAACAGGATTATGTGCTTTTATGCCTTGCTTCATACATGTTTTTCTACAAAAAAAAAATCCCCAATTTAAATTATTTTGTTTGTACCGGTACTCTTCAAGTAAGTTTAAGTAAAAACAAGAAGTTGCACAAGATGTCAGGATGAGACATTTTAAAGACCTACATAAGGTATACAGAAATCAACAGAAAACAGCTTATGTATACAATAGTGGTCTACAGGTCATGTCTTTCACCAGAAAAATATCTTCAATTAAACATGCCTTCATTTTATTTACCGGTTACAGTCAAACCTGTATTAAGCAGACACTCTTGGAAAATATCAAATAAAGACTGCTCAAGAGATGGTGACCTTTGAAACAAGGTTCCAAAACATTCCAGTTCTGACATCACCCGTGGACAGGATAGGGTCAAATTGTTTTAGTGTTTTCAATTGGTAGAGTTGTCGTACTTGTGAGCAGTGAAATAAAAAATGACGGATCCCCCGGCTGTAAATTTGAAGAAAATGTCGAAATATGTTAATATTCGTGGGGAAATAAATTGCTGATACTGTCTTCAATGGAAACTGAAAAAAGGGAAAAGGTGAATTCAAAATTCACTTTCTATTGTGCAATCTCAGTTGCAAACAGGTTTCGATTTTCATTTAGACTTCAATATTGACAATATTCTTTGTCATGAAAATTTTTGGTTGTTAAAAACATTAAAATGACCGTTGTTAAAAGTTTAAATGATGATTTCTTTGAAAATAAGGTGACCGATGACCGTTAGAGGCAGGTGACTGCTGAAACAAGGTGACTGTTAAGACAGGTTTGACTGTACATGTAGTTCAGCTTGTCTGTATCCCTTAACTATCAAAAGTTATTAGAACCTAAATGAGGATTTTTTTTTAAATAAGCTGATGTTTTCATAACTGGTCTGACAATATCAAGGACTTAAATTAAATCACATTTGCAAAAAAAAAAGATTCTTAAAAAGGAAAACTAAAGGCTTAACACAGATTTATGAAAAACTTGTACAGAAACATGAAAGTCCTTTTAAAAGTCCCCTTTCAAAAACTAATCAAATTCGTACCTGCATCTAATTTAATGAGAATGGATGGTTTATCTATGGTAATATCACATTTATTTTCTGGATGGAATGGTAAGGACGAATAATGTTCTAATTCTGCATACCTGAAACAAGAGGTACATTGAGGAATATATACTGGAATAAAAACATGGGACTCAAAGAGTCAGTAATGTTTTTAACAGTGAATTCAGTGCTAGGAGTTTGTTCTTGTAATGACTACAAAAAAGCGAGTCCAGATGGAACACAATTCAAAAATTGAAAATCAAAATTGTCAGTATATATATAGTCTTACAACATGTCTTATGTGGAAACACAATATCAATTGGTTTTCAGGCTGATAGAATTGCAATTATTTCAAAGTACTTTTTCCATATTAAATGTTAAATTAAAAATAAGAAAAGTTTTTGAATGCCTTTTCAGAAAAGAAATATTTTACCATGAAAGGTATTGTTGGAAGAAAAAAAATTTACCATGATTGTAAGGGACTTTTATGTTCACTTTGATCTCTCAGCAAAGCTTGGTTCAATTTACACTTTCCCCCTATCTCTCCATCTTTGAACACATCCTCACGAAATCTGAAAAAAGCAATCATAATTATCCTCAAACATGATATAAATATAAGTTTCATAAGATATAATTCAATATGTCCAATGTTATTATCAATTAAAAATAATTTAAGCAATAGTTAGTCTTTATATAGGACACTTGTACATCTTTATTAGTTACTAAGTTTAATCTGCTGTTTATTTCCCTGGATAATCATGGGAGTGTAACAGGGTAAATCAAGAGAAGCTTGGACTTTTGGTGAGATTTTAAACAAGCAAGATTTGATGAATAAATATTATTATGTTTTTTTTTTTTTTAAAAGTACATCCTTAAAACATGTAAAATATAAAAAAAAAATATATAACTTTTTTTTTTTTTTTTTTTTTTTCAGAAGACAATATTGGAAAAATTGAAGTGTTTGGTTGCTGTCTCACAGATGTTTTTTTATATCTGTATCAAAGTAAGAATAAAATATTAATGTGCACATGTCTGTGAATAAAAAAACAAAATTTCTCTTTCAATACTACATTAAGTATGGGAAGAGGAAAAAGTCAGATTTACTTACGATTTTTAAGGAAACGATTCATAAAAAATGTAATCATATTTTAAAACAAAAGTTTCTAAATAACTCAATTCAAATCCTATCAGGTTTTTTGAAAAATTAAAATCATGAAATCTTTTTTAAAGCTTTCAGTATACCAGTATGTTATCTCAGTTTTTGTGTTTACAATTTACCTATCTATCTGTCTCAGTTTGTATTTACTGATTTTAAACTGGGTAAATTAATCCATCTCATTTACCGTATTTTATAACAGTCAGAACATTTACCTATCATTTCCCTGTTTCAGATGAGCATTAGTAAAATCAAGGTAAATGTTTCTAGCTCTACAGTGACGTGTATATCTACAGCATTCTAACAGAGAATCCTCCTGAAAAATGACAAAATGCTAAAAATAAGCATGATTATTGTTAGTCCCAATAACCTTGAAAAGTGTTTTTTTTATAAATGCAAACACTTTAGTGCCTGTGCAAAGCATGTAATCAAGTGGTTGTCATTCGTTGCTGTTTGCCATATTTACTTTCCATTTATTATGGTAGTATAAAACAGCTAGCTAGGACGTTGGTTTTCCCTTTGAATTGTTTGACATTTTGTTATAGTTTCCTAATGGTATGGGTTTGCTCATTGTTGAAGGCCATATAGTGATCATTACTGTCCATTGGTCTTTATCAATACTTTTCACATCCACAATCATACCACATCTACTTATTTTTAAACTATGTTATTTTTTTACTGAATTTTATTGAAAATAATGGGTCCAAGGTGCTTGAATCGCATCAGAATAAAATTAATATGCACCAATTTTTTTTACATTCAATATAGGTTAATGGGAAGTAATAACCTTCATAAGCTGTATAAGTGTTAATAACCAAAGTTTGGCCAATAAATTGTGTGAAAATTCGAAAATGTCTTCATTGGCATACCTAATGAAAAGATAAATGTTACAGAAATTAATTATCTCATAAAGGTTAAAGAATTTCAAGCTGTTTAAATTAGGTCAACTATTCAAAAGGCCTGCTTGCACTTTTACATAAATCTACTGTAAATTCAGAAATAATTGTGTGGATTTATCATTGCGATTTTTGAAGAATGGACAAAAATGTGAGATTTATTATTACGATTTCAGGAAAATCTGTATACAGACATGACAGAAAAATGTATAAGATATCGGAATGCGAGTTCTTATTATTGCAATATTCATCAAGTTGCATTATTCACATTAATAAAAACCTAGCAATAATATCTGAATGTATAGTATTGGGTAGACTTAATATAAAAATTCAAAGAAACATAAATATTGCACTTGTTTGAAGTAAAATAAATGTAATCTAAACTAATGTATTATATTTGATGGCAGCCACTGTTGAATTCAAACTGGCAAAATCACAATGACCTCAATTGAAAATTTTATATGCACTCCAATAGCCAGATGTGGTTCAGGGGGTTTGTAACTTTGATATTTTAACTTTAAATTAAGAGCTGCACCATGAGCGCATGATATGCCCATCGCCCTTTTAGTTTTTAGTTCCATAACTCCTCAATGTCATATCAGAATTCATAAAAAACAAAAGGGAGCGTATTTACATAGATATAAACAAGTCTCCATAGTTTCATGAAAACTGCTCAAAGCGTTTCTGAGTTATTGTCTGAAAACTGGAAAATCCCCCCTTTTTTTATGAATAAAATTTCCTAACTCGGAAACTTAAAATCTAAAATTTATAAAAATCGAAAGGGAGCTTACATCAATAGATATAAACAATTCACCAAAGTTTCATCAATTGGAAATTCCAGGTATGAACATAAAGCTTATGGGATCCTGTAATGGCAGTTAGCTGACCCACCCCCCCCCCCCCCCAACCCCCCCCCCCCCCCCCCCCCAACCCCCCCTGCTCCACAATTGGAAATCCCAAAATAAAAATTTTAGTACATGCAGCTAAGTGAGGTTTTACAAGAAAAGTGTTGGCCAACTCAATCCATTATCTTGAATTTCTAGTTTTAGATAATAATATAAATCAAAATTATGGTGAGGACCATTCATGGGAAACTCCTACCAAGTTTGCATCCATTAGACCAAATGGTTTCAGTGACCTATTTTAAACAAATTCAAATAAAAGAACCTGCATTGCACATATTTTATCTGTCCAAAGGCAATCATTACCAATTATTAAAAAGTTTTATGTTCTTTAATCTCTTTATTAATATCTTATAGAACTGTGGGCTTGAGAGTGCTTTTAACAATGCAATTTTCCTTATAATTAATATTTCCATTGGGCATAAGTCTTTAGAAAATAGTTCATCTGCAAGGATTTTCAAACTTGTCTGAGAAATTGCTTATACGTTTGATATTAGTTTGATAAAAATCTAGCAAGATTTGTACATGTGAGACCGATTACAATGCAATTTTCCATATAACTGATATTTCCAAGGGTCATCACTCTTTTAAAGAGAGTAAATCAGCACTGATTACAGAAATTGTCCTATACATTGTTGATAAACCTTTGATATTAGTTTGATGAAAATCCTGCAAGAGCTGTACATGTGAGAGCAATAACCATGCAATTTTTCATATAATTAATATTTCCAAGGGTCATAACTCTTTTAAAGAAAGTAAAACTGCACTGATTAATTACCAAACTTGTCCTAGATGTTGCTGATAAACCTTTGATATTAGTTTGATAAATACTGGTAAGAGTACATGTAAGAGCAATTACAATCCAATTTTCAATATATCTAATATTTCCAAGGGGCATATTTTTTCAACTACCTCACAGTGAGAAGAATGGTTGACCTTACAGTGAGAAGATGGGTTGACTTTTCAGTGAGAAGAATTGTTGACCTTTCAGCGAAAAGGACTGTTGACCTTTCAGTGAGAATTAGGGTTGACCTTTCAGTGAGAATAAGGGTTGACCTTTCAGTAGGGAGAATTAGGGTTGACCTTTAAGAGAGAGAGAGATGAGAGAACTTGTCAATTGCCTATTAACACACTTAATTTAGTCAATGCAAATCCAGTGGTTATGAATGTTTATTGATGGTGTCTAAAGTTCAATACATTTACTATCAGTCCACACCGAGTTTCAAATTTATTGCTTTTCACTTGGGACACTGACTGACCATCCTTTTTATATGGTTGATAAGTTAACTGGTTCTTAGAATAAGTGTGTTTTGAGTATTGAATGTTACATACTTGTCCTGATTAAATTTTGTATGAAATATTTGCCACTGATGGTTGCAACAACCAATAATAGATTTAAAAAGTTTTGTCCCTGTAACATCCAATGAGTCCTTCAATCCTTTAAAAGATTTAACAGAGAAAGATACTAGCAGTATGATAACATTTTCTTTTGCTTAGCTGTCTAAACAATATGTGGGTATTCATGTTGAATGCACCTTTCTAAAAGTGCAAATTAAATGAATAAGAGGAAAATGCCATCATGAACATGACAAAGTGATAATGTGAACAATACCAAGCTAAGAAAAAGTGCTACAATCAATCTAGATGTTACAGTAAGGTTAACTGTTATGATTCTCATCTTTAAAAACATTTTTTAGACAATTTTTGTAGTCAAGGTATTTTCAATTTTGTGATTACTGTGTTTTTAAGGTCCATAAACTTATTTATTTCAAGCCTCTAGACTAATAATTGAGAGAGTATTATACCTTTTGATAACATTAAACATTTTATACAGACACTACTTACTAATGGATTTATTACCATTTAACTACAGCTCTTAATATTCTTAAAATATGTATAAACAAGATATCCCCCTATAGAGTCCTTGGCTCTCTGTCATAAAACTTTACTCAGTACTCAGAGTACAAAATTTGTGCTCGAAACATCAAATCCATGATTTTGATTGGTTGACTTCTGAGTCTGAGTACGAAAATCGTGCTCGAAAGTTTTATGACCGCTAGGCCAGGTACTTATATACATTGATCACACTCACATCTTGTGGTGTTTTATTTTATTTTCAGATCATTTGTATGTTTTGGAGTTAAGGATGGTGTCCATTTTGCTGAAATATTATGCATTATTGTTTGGAGACCAGCTGAAGCTTGCCTGCTGATGCAGGATTTTCTCTCTGCATTGAAGAACCATAGTGGCCTTGGGCTGTTTTTTTCCTATTTGGTCAGGTTGTTGTCTCTTTGACACATTCCCTGTCTATTCTCTATTCTATGTTTATCCTCACTTTAATGACCTAAAATTCAAGCCAGAATATTTACCGAAAGTCAGTACCTCACTTTCAGGTTGACATATAACTTTGAGCTCATTTCTTCTTTCCTTCATGTAACCAAAGTCTGCTGCCTTCCAAAACTCATGCACCTGTGTTGCTTTATCTTTTGCCCTGGAAAAAAGGTAAGTGCTTTAAAATGTGTATCTCCTTATCATAATAAGACATAATTCTGAAAAATATGTATTACAGTGTACCTTTAAAGGTTCATTTGAGCTTATATCTGTTAGTGTTATGCCACTCATTCTGTATACTGTGGATTCATTATTATTCGTTGGATACCAATTTTCGTGGATTTCGTGGGTACAGGTGAACCACGAAATTAAATATTCAACGACTGCAAATTTTCCATAGGGATGTATGCAGACTTTGGCAAAACCACGAAATCAAATATCCACGAAATTGCAGGTTTTCATCAATCCACAAAAATGGTACCCACAAAAATAAATGAATCCACAGTAGTTGAAGTCTGTTAAAAAAAAATACTATATTGTTCTTTAACTGAATTTTTCATGTTCATTCCCATCATAACCAAAGTAACATAACTCATAACATAATTACAAGGAATTTATTTACAAATTTGCATCAGCAGCTCTAGAGAAATAATTCAAAGTGCCTGAAATGAACAGACATAAAGTGATAAACTAAGAAAAAAACAGAATATCTGATCTTGTTCTGGTCTTCCAAGTCAATTTGACAATGTGCTTGAAGAGCCTACCTGACAATCTCAGAAATTGTTTGCTCTTCAATCCACAAAAGAATTCAAAGAATGGACACAGGTATCCACCAGCACTCCTAATTATTCTTAAAAGATGACGACTTACGATCTTACGATGTATCTACTTACCATCCTCGGCTACCTCCTGGACAAGATGGTGCAATCATTCTCTGATCTGAGGGACAGTTCTTTTCATATCCCCAGCACTTCTGAATTGATAAACTGTCCTGAAAAGCATTACACAATACAAATTTGTAATATAGTTTGAGAAAATATACAATAAACAAGAATCACAATGAATGCACATGCTGAAAAGTATACCTCAAAAATGAAAAAAGAATTCCATGGGTAAAATAAAAAGTTCAAAGTATCTTCAAACAGGAAGTGACTGCCCATTAGATATAACAAGAGTGCACACGCTGAAATGTCTCGCCTTCTTTACTAATCATTGATATTATGTTGATAGTCCTAAATATAAAGCTTTATTACAACTGTCACATAAACTTAACATAAACCAAGTAAACTAAACATTGACCAATGAACCATGAAAATGAGGTCAAGGTCAGATGAACCATGCTAGGCAGGCATGTACAGCTAACAATTCTTCCATACAACAAATATAGTTGACCTATTGCTTATAGTTTAAGAAAAACAGACCAAAACACAAACACAAACACTTAACACTGAGCAATGAACCTTGAAAATGAGGTCACGGTCAAATAAAACCTGCGTGACTGACATATAGATCATAAAATATTTCCATACACCAAATATAGTTGAACTATTGCATATAGTATTAGAAAAAAAGACCAAAACTCAAAAACTTAACTTTGACCACTGAACCATGAAAATGAGGTCAAGGTCAGATGACACCTGCCAGCTAGACATGTACACCTTACAATCATTCCATACACCAAATATAGTAGAACTATTGCATACAGTATAAGAAAAACAGACCAAAACACAAAAACTTAACTAAAACCACTGAACCATGAAAATGAGGTCAAGGTCAGATGACATTGGCCAGTTGGACATGTACACCTTACACTCCTTCAATACACCGATTTATACTAGATCTATTGCTTATAGTATCTGAGATATGGACTTGACCACCAAAACTTAACCTTGTTCACTGATCCATGAAATGAGGTCGAGGTCAAGTGAAAACTGTCTGACGGGCATGAGGACCTTGCAAGGTACACACATACCAAATATAGTTATCCTATTACTTATAATAAGAGAGAATTTAACATTACAAAAAATCTTAACTTTTTTTTCAAGTAGTCACTGAACCATGAAAATGAGGTCAAGGACATTGGACATGTGACTGACGGAAACTTCGAAACATGAGGCATCCATATACAAAGTATGAAGCATCCAGACCTTCCACCTTTTAAAATATAAAGCTTTTAAGAAGTTAGCTAATGCCGCCGCCGCTGAAAACTGATTGCATCAAAAACTCAAATTTATGAAGTCCATACAAAATATCAGATAAATCGTTAATGATTACAAGCTGATTATCTGTAATGGAAATTACAGACAGGGGGACAGACAAGGATAGCAATATTCAATCCAAATTTTACACTAACACTGAGTATTTGAGTTTCTAATACTTTTACTTTTCCCACATATGGAATTTAAATGTAACAAGAGTGCACACGCTGAAATGTCTCGCCTTCTTTACTAATCATTGATATTATGTTGATAGTCCTAAATATAAAGCTTTATTACAACTGTCACATAAACTTAACATTAACCAAGTAAAGTAAACATTGACCAATGAACCATGAAAATGAGGTCAAGGTCAGATGAACCATGCTAGACAGGCATGTACAGCTAACAATTCTTCCATACAACAAATATAGTTGACTTATTGCTTATAGTTTAAGAAAAACAGACGAAAACACAAAAACTTAACACTGAGCAATGAACCTTGAAAATGAGGTCAAGGTCAAATAAAACCTGCGTGACTGACATATAGATCATAAAATATTTCCATACACCAAATATAGTTGAACTATTGCATATAGTATTAGAAAAAAAGACCAAAACTCAAAAACTTAACTTTGACCACTGAACCATGAAAATGAGGTCAAGGTAAGATGACACCTGCCAGCTAGACATGTACACCTTACAATCATTCCATACACCAAATATAGCTGACCTATTGCATGCAGTATTAGAAAGAAAGACCAAAACTCAAAAACTTAACTTTGACCACTGAACCATGAAAATGAGGTCAAGGTCAGATGACACCTGCCAGCTAGACATGTACACCTTACAATCATTCCATACACCAAATATAGTAGACCTATTGCATACAGTATAAGAAAAACAGACCAAAACACAAAAACTTAACTATAACCACTGAACCATGAAAATGAGGTCAAGGTCAGATGACACCTGCCAGTTGGACATGTACACCTTACAGTCCTTCCATACACCGAATATACTAGACCTATTGCTTATAGTATCTGAGATATGGACTTGACCACGAAAACTTAACCTTGTTCACTGATCCATGAAATGAGGTCGAGGTCAAGTGAAAACTGTCTGACGGGCATGAGGACCTTGCAAGGTACGCACATACCAAATATAGTTATCCTATTACTTATAATAAGAGAGAATTTAACATTACAAAAAATCTGAACTTTTTTTTCAAGTAGTCACTGAACCATGAAAATGAGGTCAAGGACATTGGACATGTGACTGACGGAAACTTCGTAACATGAGGCATCCATATACAAAGTATGAAGCATCCAGGTCTTCCATCTTCTAAAATATAAAGCTTTTAAGAAGTTAGCTAACGCCGCCGCCGCCGCCGTAGCCGCCGCCGCCGCCGCCGCCGCCGGATCGCTATCCCTATGTCGAGCTTTCTGCGACAAAAGTCGCAGGCTCGACAAAAACTAGTCTTTTGTCATAGGTTTTTAACTATTTGTTTTTACTGTATGCATTTTTTATTTACATGATTTATGTCCCCAAGTATAATAACAAATTGTCTTCACAAACATGTAAGCCAATACTGTCAATATAAATAACCATGACCCCTTGAGAGAAACTAGTAGTAGTAGACACATCAAACTTTATTGATATTCAACTTATAGTTCAATGCAACATATACTGTATCTTAAAATAGATCAAATCCACACAACAACTGATTAAGGTGGTACATAACACTACAGGGAGATAACTCTTTGAAAATCAGCTGAACGTTTTAATCACATTCTATTGTTAAGGAAATATTAAGCTTCTCAGTGATCAAAATTAGTGTTTGTCAAACTGCTATATATCCAATGAAATGTTTCCGATAAAGTGTGTGGTTCAAGTTTTTGAAATTTTTATATTTTTGTCAAAGGGTCAAAGTAAATATTTTGTCAAAATTTTATGATAATTAAACGAGCCAAATTAATTTTAGTCAAGGTGTTTGGTACAATGTACCACCTTAAGATATAAATTGGCCTTTTTGTTGTTGATCACCATTCTTCATATACATATATATATATATATGTCAAATTAGCAGAAACTGTAATTTCCCACCAAATTCAATGTAAAAAGGTCAATTTCCACTGGTTTTTAGGACTGGGCAAATATAGAACATGCAAGGACAAAAATTGTTTTTAAATTAGAATTCTGTTTATTTAAATAATAACCTTTCAAACTTGAACATGGTGCTCTTAGGCCTAAATGGTGGTTGAAATCCTGAATTATTTTGAAGGGTTAAAATTGGCCCTAAGAACTTGATGTTTAATCAAGCAAAAATACTACAAATTTTGCATAGAAATAGTTGTGGTATAACTATTAATACAGAATAACTTCTTTTTGGCACATCACATTAAAAATGATGAAGAAAGGACCCCTTAAGTATGCAGTATTTGTGTTGTTACCTCAGTTTTGGTCAAATGTTCAATAATTGTTAGCAGTTTTTAACATAATTCACTTTTGCTGCCACCCCTGATCCAGAAAGTTTTTGTATCTAGGGATTCAATTTTATCATTGGCAACTTTTGGCTACAGACAATTTTGGATCCTAGGTTGAGGTCAAGGGTTTCCTCAAGCTTTTATGTCTCAAAAATGCACAAAATCATCGTTTTTTTGACAATATATCCAAAGTGTGCTGACTTTGAAGCCTAGAATATCCTCTAATGAAGATATTTGTTTAACCTATAAGTAAGGCTTTTGAAATAGATCTATTCATGAACCAAATTATGGCCATTTTGATATATTATGATAATGTTGAATTTCAAGGCCATATTTGGCCTACTTTGGGTGTAAATGTCTTTGCTTTAAAAAATCATTCTTTATCACTTTTTCACTTGTTCATGCTTCAACTTGAAACGCTTCTCTGACATTTAGAAATTTTTTTTACTTAATATTAGGGGCAAAATAATGCCCTTTCCCTTCAGACGACTCTTTCTGCATTTCAAGCAATTTACTTAAAAAGAAACCATATCTTCAACAAAAATCTGCAATGGTTGACTGGGGCTTATAAAATTTGCTTATTCCTTGGATTCTCTCATCCAGCAGTTAAACCCTTGATAAAGAGGGGTGTCCGATTAGCTGTGCAGGATGTATAAATACCCACCCACGTTTGGTCAGAATGGGGATGTTAAATCAGATGCCTTGTGTATGACTCTTTGAGGAGTCTGTAGATAGATATAAGAAGATGTGGTATGAGTGCCAATGAGACAACTCTCCATCCAGGTCAAAATTTATAAAAGTAAACCATTATAGGTCACAGTACGGTCTTCAACACGGAGCCTTGGCTCACACCAAACAGTAAGCTATAAAGGGCCCCAAAAAATTACTAGTGTAAAACCATTCAAACGGGAAAACCAACGGTCTAATCTATATAAAAAACGAGAAACGAGAAACACTTATGAACCAGATAGCCTAGATGTTTGTGTCTATCCAACATACTCTCACTTTCCAGTGGTAATGAAATTTCCTGCTTTCATACAGAATCTACCTATTGTATTAATTGTTAATTTTTTCTCCTCTTAAATATGCATGAAATATTTGCCACTGATTGTTAAGCAAGCAACGATCAAACAATCTTAATTTTTTTTTCACATAACTCATTTCACATACATGACAATGATTGAATGGAATATGTTTTAAAAATTTTCAAAGAGCTTTTTAATCTTAATGCCAAAATGAAATTTGATACTTCTACTTAATAAATTGAAATTCTTTGTAAAATTTTTTATCTGAGCCCTTTTCAACATGAGATTTCTCGTTTTTGAAAATGAAAATTTAGTAAATAATAACAGTAAAATGAGAAATAATTGTAAAGGAATGAATTTTCTCACGATATAACATAAAGACTTGTTAAATTAACATTCATATGTCAACATTTCAAAAACCAAACAGTATGTAATTAATGTAGCTTTCATGTATGTTTTTAGTAACGTTTTATGGAATTAAAAATAAATGGTCATCAAATTAGGTTTTTTTCAGTCTGAAAGGTCTCAATTAGGAAACAACCAACATACATGGATAATAAAAATAAACAATTAGTCAGAATGACAAGTTTTGTTATCAATAGAAATAACCTTTCTGTGACCTGGCACTGTTTATATCTGACCTCATCCTAACCTTATACACCTAAATAAACTGGATTTAAAAGGTAAAATCAATGTACATGTATTATTAGATATGACCTTATTTCAGGATAAGATTTATAGCCTATTTATAAGGGATAATCTTTAATCTTGAGAGTCTTCCTTACAGTATATAAATTGTGATTGCTGCTTTTGAATTTTTTAAATATCCCTTTTATTTAGGATTTTCATCATCAATATGGGGTGAAAAAAATATAAAGTAGATTTAACGTGTTAAATATTACCTCATTAAAATTTGAATCTAGGTAGTTTCCATGGCAAAGATTATGCCTGTAATTATCAAAGAATTTATAGGATTTGACTCTATGATAAGATATTTAATTAGAACCACTGAAAGAGCTTACAAATAATCTGAAATTTAGTCTACAAATTCATCTTTTCTAAAAGTAAAATTTTAAAACAAGTACTCACCTGAAATGGACAATTTTCATCCTTGTTACATTCTTCCTTTATATCAGGATTATTGTTGAAAAAATAAGGTATGTGTTCCTCGGGTAGATTTAACGTATTCCAGCTAAAACAGATCACTGCATCTGTCGTTAAGATGACCAAGTATATACTCTTAAGATCTACATGTTGTCTTTTCATCCTAGAAGAAATATATGGTACATATGTATTTTTAATCACTTTGACTAGAAATGTGTACAATTACATAAAATTGTGATTTTATAGGCAAACACATGGTTATTGCTACATTAGCAAATTCTATTATTCAGTAAGGTGCATTTTAAGGAGTTAAATCAAAGTCTTTAAAACATATAAGTTGTTACAAACTGGAGACAGTAATTTGTCAAAATCTAAATTTTTTAATTTCAGCTGTACAAATTTAAAGAAAGAAACGTAATATTTCTTTTTATACAAAAATGTATTTTTTAATAAATGGGGGTGTAAAGAGGGTAAAATAAACCAAATCACCCAATTTAAGCCTCTTTCAATGATAAATGTTATGACTTTGTCTTGGAGCGATCTCGATAAGTAATGTCTCCTCAAGAATTATGACTCAAATGCAGAATTATATTACTGTTATGACGATCATAAATACTGAGAAAATGCTTTAGGCTGAAGGTGGTCCATTACTATCTTTCTGAAGTTTGGTGATTTAAAACTTAAACTTTCAGAAGCATGTAACATAAAATATTCTGCAATTTACTGTGAGCAATTTAAAGTACTTTTATATGCACTGTAACTAGAGTACAATGTCTGTCATCTAGTTAATACGTTTTTTATTGAAAGTTTGTAATACCGGTACATGTTGGTAGGCCAAATAAATAACATGTCTGGTTCTGGAGATATTTCTTCCATGGTATTTCCTCTACACTAAATAAAGATTTTTAGCTGTTATGAATACTTAAGTGAACCAACTCATTTTCCGCATTTAGCCCTTTCTAGCCAATTTCAAAGCGATTTATTTTGATGATTATCTAATTTTGTTAATGTATTCATAAAAGTGAAGCTCCAAGTTTGAAAAGTTTGCATCTTTTACAATCCCATTATTCATCTACCTGTGAAACTCACAAAAATAAGTTGGTTTACATATATTCTACAAGTGACTGATGATGCACCTAAGTCATGCCAAGAAAAGCTATGAAAAAGCTTCCACTTGCTTGACCTAAATGCCTAACTTATGAGCACACGTCCTGTCATGCACAATACATGTATATGTAGGTCAGGATGATCAAAATGTTCGCCAAGTCTTTAATAACAAGATAATCATAGGATGGAATGGTAAAATGTCAATCATGAATAGGCAAAGGTTATTAAAGTTACAGTAAGTGTGCAAATTCCAATTGTGGATTCAAGGGGGATGATAGACCCCTCCTTTTATAAAATAAAATTTGTTTTTGCTTAAAATTGTTTTAAAAAATCTCATTGCTACACTCAACAGTATTTTAACCATATGATGCAATAATGCCTCCCCTTTCCCTAGACCCTAGATCTGCCTCTGATGTCACTGAATTTTTTAATGAATTTTCAGGCCATTTTGGCTATAGTTATGTCTGTCTTAAAAATAAACTTTACCAACTGTTCCAGTATGAAAATTTAGGTCATGCTGAGCAAATAAGAAATATTTGATATAACCTTGATTCAACAACCTGTTTCAATCCATCATTTTCTACATAAGAAAATGCCTGTACCAAGTCAGGAATATGACAGTTGTTATTCATTCGTTTGATGTGTTTGTTTTTTTTATTTTGCCATTTGATTGGGGACTTTCCTTTTTGAATTTTCCTCGGAGTTCAGTATTTTTGTGTTTTTACTTTTTTCTTGATAAGTCATCATGCTTTCCTTAAGTCAATAATGAACAGAGCATATGACGATTAGTCACTCAAGCTGGATATGTAGGTTAAGATGACTCATTTACAGTTGATCAATACTGAAAAATCAACATGTATATATTCTCATAGAAGTGTTATCATTTATCAGCAAGAAGTTCAAATTTTGGCAATTAGACTAGAAAAAGACAAGATAGTACAGCCATACATTTTGCCATACAAAAGCAGTGATAAGGTATCAGTTTGGTGACAGAAAATTAATGACAAAATTAAGATTTCTTTTCAAATCCATAACTACAAAACATCTTCTGAAAGTGTTACTGCATCTGGAAAATTTAAGATGATGACACTTTTCCTGTTTTATCAAAACTAATTGCTCTTTTAAGAAAAAGAGAAAAGATAATATTTATTTTTTTCACTTCTATGTAAATCAGAATCTGATTATCAGATGTAGCCATCTGGTATCTTCGGGGCTGATGCCCCTCAATTATAAGAAGCCTTCATCTAATACATACAAGGACAGCAGTGGTGAAATATTAGTTAATTTGAGAAATGGGATCACAACAAGACTTCACCTAACTGCTAATGCAGATGAACAATGGAAGTTCAATGCACTCAAAGATATATATGTATTGCTTAGCATTCAAAATATATATGATAAGGTACTAAAGTCATTTACAAACTATACATGTTGATCCTGCTATTTTTCACCATGTCATCAGAAAACTAAAACCACATTTGTTTTGCTTGTTTTATTAGGTTAAGCCTTATACACGTGTTCTTAATACAATTTATGCATGTAGTTTGTTGCAAAAAAAAAAAACACATATAAAAGAAATTATAAAAATTACTGCATTTATCAATTTGATAAATTTTCACCAAGATAATTAAACCACATTCATCTCTGCATAATTTTTTATCCTTTTATCGTCTGATGTTTTTCAAACAAAGGAATATGAAAAAAATTTAGGTCATATAAAATATTGCAGGTATTTTTATTTATCTATTTCAGTGTTGGTTTTGTTAACTGTGCACCTGCCTTAAACTGCTGTTCACTTCACACTCAGCAATATATTTTTAAGTAAGGGGAGTTAACCCCACTACATTTATCTGCAATAAACAACACATTCCATATAATTGTTTTGTACTCTGTCAATGTTTCGATTCTGTTTTAGAAAAGCTTTCAAACTGATACTTCTACAATTTTTGGCTCTCAGTAAGGCCCTGTTTAAGCTCTGCATGTGGTGCTAAGCATCTTTTTTTCACAAAAGTTTATAAACTTTAAGCTTTCAAGACCACTAAGTGAACTTTAATTTTTTTTTTTTATTCTCTGAATTTTGGAAATAGGTACAAATTATACATGTAATTCCATGTAACAATACACAAAATTTAATTCTGTTAAAAATCTACATTAAATGGGAATCACACTAGTTGATAAAGAGGTGTATGTGATTTAAAGAGATTTAAAGAGATAACAATCTGATTTACGACCTAATCTTTCAACTCTGATTGATTCTAATGGAAAAAAACTACCAAGATAGCTTTTCATTCTTATATCATGTATTTCCTGAGGGGAAGTACTTCTAACTGACACGTGTTGAAAATAGGAATTTACAAAATCTTGTAAAATTTAGTGAATCAATAATCATGATAATAGAAACAATTGATTGTTTCAATACCACAAATGAAAGGCGACTTACCTCGATCAAATGTCTGAAATTATTTGTGCAAAATATGTCACAAAGTCAACTAAATATTCAAAAACATTGAGGCTCTAGTCAACTCAAAGGAAACTGATTAAATTTTAATTTCTTTGATATCCTAACAACCAATAAGGAGTAAGCACATTTATAGATTAAATTAAATTACATATATCAGAAAGTCATTTTTATATCATTGAGGTCAACATGAACATTTAGAAAATGTGTAACAAAAGTATTAAAAAAGCATAAATACCTAACCATAATATTCAGAGAGATAGACATTTATGATGTCGATTTCCAACTGTCTACATAACTTAAATTTTTTTAACTTTATTTAAGGTTTCAAATTAAATAAAAGTTTAACATCATAATTAACTTCTTTTCTTCAGTTTAATTGTAATTCTTTTTAAATGTTTTACCCAATTGCATTTTGAATTCATCTCTACAAAACTTATCAATTGGTCAAATAGTTTAGCTTATTGCTAAAACAAGTGAAAGGTCTTTTGGACACTTTTTCCTGTTATTAATACGAAAAATACAGCTATCATGGCTATAGGGGCGTTACTCTAAACAATTATTTTTTTTATTTTTATCTATACCACTGTACAATGCTGTATATAGGTAACTTTATAAAAAAATATAAGAAAAATAAGCATTCTGAGAGTATTGCATGGCAATACATGTACATAGTCCCCTACAGGTTAAAAATCCATTGTTCTTGAACAAAATGCTAACTTGATCTATAACTTGTCATGGTGCAAACTTTAAAACAAATATCAAATCAATACATGTATCTTCAACATGTTCAACTCCACACAAAATTATCAGACTGGAACAAAATGCGAACTTGATCTGTAACTAGTCATGATAAAACTATATACCAAATATCAAATCAAAATCTTCAAGCACGAAGGAAAAAAGTATGGAAAACTGATTTGCCGGACAGACGGACAGACAGACAGACAGAGTGCAAACCTAAAGTCCCCTGCGACTTCGTCGTTAGGGGACTAATTACTCAGAAGAGTTATTTTAAAAATTTTGCAAAAAGCCTGGACTAGATGTAGTTTTTAGGAATTTTTAAATTATTGATATTTAATAATATAAAAATTAATAAAAACAAGCATTCTGAGAGTATTGCATGTCAATACATAGTCCCCTACCGGGTAAAAATTCATTATACTGGAACAAAATGCTAACTTGTTCTATAACTTGTCATGCTGTAAACAATAAGTAAATATCATGTCAATATCTTAAAGCATGACTAAAAACAGTGTGGAAAACTGATTGTATGAGTGAATTTTTCAAGTCCAAGGACCATAACTCTGCACAACATTATTAGGCCGAAACAAAAATTTGAACTTGATATGTAACTTGTCATGATAAAACTATTTACCAATTATCAATCAATATCTTATAAGCATGATGAAAAAAACATTAGATAGATTAATAGTTCTCTAAAATTAGATATGATGTAATACAGTGTATATCTATTTTCAAATTATAATCAAATATAATTAATAGTTCCAAATATTTTTTCTTTCATTTGTCACAAACTAATATAGATTTGTAACTTATCTATAAAATGTCAACAACTTTCATCTACACAATGTAAT